ACGAATAAAGTCCCAGTGTGTATTTATAAAAATATGCATATAAATACAAGGTAGTTATCCGTGGAAATTGTGGCAAATAAGTTATATTGAATAACATGAAGTAAGTATAAATGCAGGTAATTCGGCCCTGTGAGTTTTATGACAGCCAACATCGAAGAACCGATAAAAATAATCCATTCCTTTTAACGAAATTCGGACTGTCTCTTTATATTGGCATATTGCCGAACAAGAAGATCCGATTGGAAATTGCCGCTTGACTTCTGATTGGTTGGCGAGGCCCTGGCATCATGTCCTTTTGGAGCTCTTGTTTCTGATTGGCTCCTTGAAATATGCCTAGCTATTTTCAGCTTCCAACAATCTTTAGCAGTGATGAAACTTGCTTAAATCTTCTTGTTATTGTCATCAGTACGGCATTAAGCGAATGATATATATATCAGGCATATTTAAACGGTTGCTGCTATAATTTATAGTATATAAAATTTTAGATATACGCATGAAAAATAGAAGCTGGCTATAACATATAAATAAAAATAGTTCTGACATATTATCAACCTGTAGGCAAGGAGGTTATTTTTCCACCTATAAACATCAATTCGTTTTTGCAAAGCAAACCCCGATTAATAAGACAACGAAGATATCTCCTTTTCTCTTTATTAGATTATCCTAACAAGCACATTGAACACAAATCTTGCAGCCAGGTTATAAGTATAGTACAAGAATAATTAACGCAAAACTCACTAGTCATACACCTTCAAGGTAAATAGTGAGGCTTTGTGGGGTTTTCTTTTACATTTCTTTTTTCTTTTTTTAAGTTGTTTTCTTTTTCTTTCTTTTTAATCATCCACCCACGTTGCATTTGCCTGGAACTTGTTCTGACATGACATTTGATTTGATAAGAATCCCAGACTCCAGAAATGACGTTATTTTTACAGTAATAACGGCTTTGAGTCTTGTTTGTGATCTTCTTGAACGCGCCGAACAATTAGGATTGGTGCAAGTATGTCTTGCGGCGAAGAGAGAACATGTAGACATGCTTGAATCAATTAGCATATCATCCTTTTTTTTCTCTCTCTTTCACACACACACACACACACACACACACACACACACACACACACACACATATATATTCTGCAGATTGGCTTTGTAGTTTAATCGCTAAGACTTAATTATACCGGAAGCGTATTAAAATCTACAGATTATATAAAATATCTATTGACAGTTGACAGTATACAGAATATTTTTTCTCGATAGGAGCAGATACGTCTGCCTACCGCCTGGTTCACACTCCTCCCTGATCATTTGCCCGTATCCCTTTTGTGTGTTAACACCATTCTTAGTTTGTGAACTTTATTTGCCTCATTACTGTTGCTTTATCTACTTTTGTTTTGCATTTATTGATTGCTTAGTATTATTTTTGCTCTTTTCTTTCTTTTCTTATTGTTTATTGCAAACTTTGTCAATTCTGTTTGTTGGGCATTTCTACCAATTACATTTAACAATGGCCAATTATTCTACAAGTCCAATGAAATCCTAAAGGACATAACATGTCATATGAAACCTTTTCTACTTTGTCATAGATTTCCCTTAAATTGTTCATTATATATATAATGTAAATGAACTGTTCACAATATAAGAATCCATTGGTTATTAAAAAAAGAATACAAAAACACCCCCTCCCCAAATTTTTAGACAAAACATAAGAGATGCATGCTGGGATTTCTTCCTAGCCAATAAGATAAGCCACTTCTCAGTCTCATCCACCATATTTCTATTTGTTTTTGCCTTAAAGTCAGAATGCTGTGTTCACTTGTCTGTATCCCTTTTGTGTGTTAATACCATTCTTAGCTAGTGAAATTTTTTACCTCATTTTTTTGTTGTTTTACCTACTTTTGTTTTGCATTTATTGTTTGCTCAGTATTATTTTTGCCACATTCTTTCTTTCCTTATTGTTTATTGCAAACTTTGTCAGTTCTGTTTGTTGGGCATTTCTACCAATTACATTTAACCATAGCCAATTATTCTACAAGAAGTAAAGATTTATTCCTTGTTTCCTGTTTCGGATTGGTTTTCCAGTTCTTTCTAAAAACCTGCTTCCAAACTATATTTCTAACGTTTCTGTCTACAGCCTGAAATTTCGTTTACTGTTTGTTATGTTTATTCCACAATAGGAGTAGATAAGTCCGCCTATCGTCCGATTCACATTCCCCACCAGCCTTTTGAACAGGAGTAGAGGTTTATCCTGTTTAGGTTTGGGTTTCCAGTTCCTTTTATAGTTTTCTCATCCTCGTTCACTCCCAATAGCTCCTTACGTCTTAGTGGCATTATCATTTTGATTTGGTGTAATTTGATTAAAAAAAAACATGTTGCTTCTTTATTCCTCAACCAAAGAAAGACGAAATGAACGTTGCAACTGAAAATCAGACAAAAATTAGAATTAAAAACGACTAAAAATAAATAATGACAATGCATTATCTAAAAAATGTTGCGTAACCTTAGACAATTAAGTCTACTGTCATCAATACTATTTTTAAAATAATAGTTCATTCAATACAAGACACAAGAGCCACTCGTAGTAGAAAATTACTGAATGTAAGAGGAGATAGGTGGAGGTGGAAGGGAGTGAAGATTATGAAGATAAAGATGGTAGTTATTGTTGCTTGAATTGTGGGAACCCCATACTTTCGGCCTTGTGCCAATCGAAGCTACGCTTAGTAAATCACAATTGACCCTTGATTTAGGTGGTTAAGACTAATGGTCAGGAAGCATTCGAACAGGTTCTACGGCAGGGGTTGTACTTGGAAATAAGCTGTCTGAGTGGGGATTCCTTTTTATGAATAGAATACAGTGGGAGATTAGACACCGTGCACGTAGAATGTCGAGTCATAGATATTACTGGTGGAACTAAAGAGCGGAGCTGATTTGAACATTTGCCATTGAAATAGCGATAGGCTTGCAATGTTGCGTCTGTGTGGAAAGAGGTTGCAGGGTGGAAAATAAATAATTTCTCTATAAGACTGCGTAAGCGATTTTGAACTCGGCTGGAAAGTGAGGATTGAGTCCACACATAGCCGCAATATTCTATTTCTGGACCAAAAGAATAGAATCTTTTTTTCAAAGTAACAAACTTGAAAATTTGAAACATATACCATATCATCACGTAAAGAGAATTATTATTATTTTCGAGGATTTTACTCTTTGTCATATTTTTGTTGTTCTTTTCGCTACCATTCAGTAATCACCAGAAAAGTGTACTTTGCACGTTGGGCTATTCTTGTGATACACACACTTCATATCCCTTTACCAGACATATCCGGCTTCTTGTTGAGAATTACTCTAAAAATCAACGGATAACTACTGCTGACATGAGCCCAACAGCGTCAGTGTTTGCCCAAAAGAAAAGAAATGCAAGAGACGGAAGGAGAATACGGGTGAAAAATTAAAACAAAAAAATTAGGAGACATTTATATTTAGAGTTAGACAAAAAGAGGTGTTGTATCAATGTGAAAATCGAAATGAATTTCCACCATAGCAGTAACCAGGACCTGTCACAAACAACAAACAGCTGTCTGAAACAAAACAAAAAAAAGAAAGAACTCTTTCTTTGTATTTAACCATCTGTTTTATGCCAGAAAGTGACATGAATCGACTCCTTGGATGCGGCATGTCAAGTCGTATCTCTAAAGGTCCAGACTAGTGGAACTAAAGAATGGATGCCATCTAAATATTTGCCATTGAAATAACAGTAAGATTTCTTTTAAAATCTGTATCACTGCATGCAAGGCAATAAAGCCACTAAGACACGAGTGGGTACAGGGTGAGGAAAAGTCAGGAACAGAAACATTAATAATTAGAGGGAAGAGGAAAGAGAAATCAGGAAGTCAATAGATAGCGATCGACATTGCATTTAAATTTTTGCAGATTAAAGTTGGCTGGAAAGCATGGAGCCGGAAGGGAGCCATAAGCAGAAAGTGCGGGAAAAGAAAAAAAAGCATCGAATTTACAGTTACATCTCGCCAGCTCAACTGTAAATTGATGAGATTTTGACTCTAGTCTAGTACTGCGCTTAAATTGAAAAAGTCTAGGTACCATAGCGAAGAAAAAATACAAACAGTTAGCATAAAAGTATTTATAGAAAAGACACAGAGAGGCAACCTTACATCGGTAGGAAAGTGACTGAAGCTGAGGTGCCAGTTCAGGAACAGGAGCCGATTCTTCTTTGGATTTTATCAAGAAGCTCAAGGTAAATATCAGGGGCACCGGACCATATGCGGCAGCAATATTCTAAACATGGACGAATAAGGATTACAACATTGCGCCTGTGGAAAAATAGGTTGTAGAATGGGAAATAATTCATCGCTTACAAAACTGAGAAAATGATTTTGAACCCAACCAAGGATGGAAAGAGAAGATTGCGCATCTCCAACTATCAAAAATTAGCAGCAATACTCCATTATCACATGGCAGAAAGTATCAAGTACGTTTAGGAGCGCTACAAGTGGTGAACCATTTCACTATTAATACCATAAGGATGTGCGTGTACTGCAACAGTTATCAACGCGTCAAGTGGAATGTTAAGTTCAATTTTATGCCTTTAAGTAATGACCATATCCCCTCACCAACAGCGTGGATTGAGCATTCTAACCTTGGGTGGTAAGCATTTAAATAGAAGGACATTATAAAACAGTGGAGAAGGCAACGAGAAAGCACTCAATTATCTTTCCCAATATCTCATGGCAATTCATAGATGATGAACTGAATCGTTGACTGATTTGTATTTTAAGGCTTGTTATTTAAAACCAGAAAATAGAAGATTTTATTCGACTGTAAGAATTTTGGGAGGATAATAAAGATTTACTGATACAAGTTCTACCCATAGCTCGAGAATACGTGGATTCATACATTTTCTAAGGGTATTTTCGCGTAAGTGAATATAATGAACCTGACTGGAATTCGAACCAGGCACTCCGATTTCAATTCCGTTATCCAGCGCATCAAAGCTTACAGCACCTAGTATTCTCGAGCAGTCGCTCATCTAGGTACTGAGCAGGCTTCACGTTGCTTAACTTCGGTGATCGAACGAGAATCTGTATTTCAACGTAATATGGATGCAAGCTCATAAGTAATAAAGAAAAGAAGTCTGTGGATAGCCATGATTGCTTACGCCTAGAAGGGACAATATTTTATTGTTCACCCAATGAAGGGACCAAGAGTCACTCAAGGTAGAGGGTTAATAAATGAGGTTGTGTGAAAGGAGCAAGAAGTGTATATTACGAAGATATGTAGGATACATAACAGTTGACTCTAGAAGAGATTATGATCCTAGTGAACGGGGAAGCATCACTTGGGGTGTCTATTCCACAATGCTAATGTTCCGGGAAAACTGTCTGGGTGGAACTTCTTCCTTAACAATGAAATATTAGTGGGATGAAGATAAGACGGCGCAGTGTACGTAATATGGGGCTGTTCTAGCTGTAAAGGGCCGGACTGGTGGAACCAAGGAACGTAGACCGCTTAAACATCTGACATGCAGATACGGACAGATTAGCGTGTGGTTGACAATGTTTCGTCTTTGAGAAAGAGGTTGTAGGGTAAAAAATAGGTCATCACTCAAAAATAAATCAACCGCATTTTCTTCTTGGTAGTGCTATCATTCATTCGTCCATTTCATTCTTGGTGGTACTATCTTTTGTTCCCCCATTTCATTTTTGGTAGTACTATCTTTAGTTTATCCATTTCATTTTTATGTGTATTATAATTCGTTCATTCATTTCGTTCTTGGTATTAGTATCTTCGTCCGTCCATTTCGCTTTTGGTGTTACTATATTTCATTCATCCATTTCATTCTTGGTATTACTATCTTTCCTTTGCAGAGGCACTATCATCGCGCATCCTTTCATGGTATTATATTTCATTTACCATTTCATTTTTGGTGGTATTATCCATTTCGTTCTTGATGTTACTATATTTCATTCATCCATTTCATTCTTGGTGGCACTATCTTTCATTCATCCATTTCATTCATGGTTTACTCTCTTTCGTTCATTCATTTCGTCCTTGGTGATTACTATCTTTCATTCATCCATTTCATTCTTGGTGGTACTCTCTTTCGTTCATTCATTTCGTCCTTGGTGATTACTATCTTTCATTCATCCATTTCATTCATGGTTGTATTCTCTTTCGTTCATTCATTTCGTCCTTGGTGATTACTATCTTTCATTCATCCATTTCATTCATGGTTGTACTCTCTTTCGTTCATTCATTTCGTCCTTGGTGATTACTATCTTTCATTCATCCATTTCATTCTTGATGGTACTCTCTTTCGTTCGATCATTTTGTTCTTGGTGGTACTATCTTTCGTTTAACCATTTCGTTTATGGTGTTACTATATTTCGTTCATCGATTTTCTTCTTGGTAGTATCATCTTTGGTTCATTTATTTCGTTTTGGGTGTTAGTATTTTTTGTTCAAACATTTCCTTTTTTGTACTACTATCTTTCGTTCGCCTATTTCATTCATGGTATTACTGGATGTCATTCACCCATTTCGTTCTTGGTGGTACTATCTTTCGTTCATTCATTTCCCCTAAAAGAAAATAGTATAAACGATTCAGTCTTCATGTTCAGTCTTTCTTGAAATGAATTAAAGGGATAATGACAGAGAACACAGTAATTAAAACAACATAGATAAAGTTAATCATACAAATAATTCATTGCCTTCCACCTTAATTTCTTCTTAACTCTCTCATAATTGCCTCTGACCTTTCTCTCCTTTTTTTTTCTGTCACGTAATTACAGTTTTCGTACTTCTTATTATTTAATTCTTCTTAGTCGCCATCATCAATTTAATGTTTTTCTTTTTTTCCCGCCTTTGTTTCCTTTTTCCCGCCTTTGTTTCCTTTTTTCCCGCCTTTGTTTCCTTTTTTTTTTGTTGACATTATTTTCTTCTTCCTTTCTTTTACAACTTTTTTTTTCGTTACTGATCAATTCTTGCGTGTTATCCTGTACCCCACCATCACAATCTAGCCCACTCCAGAAGAAATTCTCTTGCGATTTGACTCACGTCTGATAATCTTTTTTTTCCCAATGGAAACCTATTGATAGAGTGAGAAACAAACAGCTAAGGAAGCTAATCAAGTAAAGGGAGGTAAGTACATCAACACTGAGCACGATTTCGACAAGCAATTAGAATAACTTGTTATGTCCTACGCTGTTGGGAATACATTGTAAATTCACTTCGGCAGTAATGACGTCATCGCGAGGGCAGGTATTCACGATAAGAAAGTGAACAGTGTCATTTGTATTATTCTACGTAGAAGAAATCTATTTTCTCCAACTATTAATGTTCTTATTAAGTGAGAGATCAGCTCGTCAACGAAGTAATGCTGCTGTACAATTATACGAAGTTGCCCATCCCGACACCCTGTCTGATATACCAAGAACATGAAGCACTTCCAAATATACACGATAAACTGTCGTCGTCGTCGTCGTCGTCTGAAGTGCTGTGGGTGATACACACATGGCAGAATAGTTCGAAATCAAAGAGATCCACGACGTCGGGCCGTGTTCCAAAGCTGTCTAGGTTTAAGGGGAAGGGCAAATATGGTCCGCTGTCATTCATTCGATTCTAAATACGAAAACCTCATCCCAGACAAAGATCTTCAAGTTCTTGGTTTCGAATTATGTGACCCAAGAATATTTTTATTTTTTTGTCGGTGATCAACAGTTTGGAGCAGAATGAGTTCTCGTTGAAGAACTGAATCTTTCGTTTTGTTCGCAGTTCAAGGAATTTTTAACATTCGTCAGTAGAACGGCATCTCTGCGACTTGGAGAGTCTGATTTTGAAAAAAAAGTCAGCTTTGAAAAAAAGCAGAGCATAATTTTGTATGCATGTTTGTTTCTTTCTTTCCCTATAGGTATATCAACTCCTTATGGGTCATTTAATACCGAAATTTTATTTTCTTGCGTACTGTGTTAATTTTTTTACCAAAAATATAATGCTGGTAATTTTATTTATTTTGCTGTTAATTGTTTTGAAATTATTTTTATATTTTCATGTTTTGACCCGTTTTGGGGGTTCACAATTTGCTCATAGCTGAAACCCTAACAAATAATAACACATTGGGTCAGGGTGGACCTGGGAACAACAACACTTAAGAGGTGATTCCATGATCCTCAAAACCTCCAATCACCCGATCAGAGGCCTTGCTGCCCGATGTAGTTTATCGTCATACCCAGGACGGAACTTTGCAAGTGAGACCCAGCTAGAAATATCTTCCGGTCGTGTTACCCAGTCTGCTCGATAGGTCTCTAATTGAGGGTCTTATTAAGTATACAGATGTGACTCTTAAGATGCCTTGGATGATTCATCCATCAAAATTAAAGAATACCTTCTCGAAATCAACCATGATGATTTCGCACTACCTCCCGCTCATGAAGAGATGTAGAGTGAGTCAGTGACAAGGTGACACGCTAATTGATTAATGTCATGCAACTAACAAGCAAGTCTGTGGTACTGAACGAGTTATTTACTGTCCACCCATCTTCCCTGATACCAATGTCCGCTTGGATCAACAGCATTCCGAATAATTGCTTGCAGATAATCGATGGGTTGATCTGTAGCTGTTGAAATCTATAGTACTTTCTTAGAGACATCGTATCTGCATCCCATACCTAACCATTTTCGTAAAGCTTCAGACGACTGAGATTTTAATTCAGAGTTTTCTCCTTTCTCCTATACCAACAATGGCTAAAGAGCCTCAACTGTCTTGTCATATAACCTATAGCTATCGTACCGTTCTCAAGGGTTATATGAAAGGATTTATAGATTTTGGCAAGCAGGTTGAGCCAGAAATTTTCAACACTCTTTCGTATATATATATATATATATATATATATATATATATATATATGAAAAGTCTATGAAAAACTAGGTAATCCGTATGGGTAAACCTAAGGAAGATAAAATCCAGAAGCTCAATGTAAATCCAGAGCAAATAGTTTAAATAAAAACAGACCACTTTAAGGTTCCATGATGTTATAAATTATTTCACCACAGCCCTTTTAAAGGACTGCGGATCATCAACTTTACTTTGGAAGTAAAGTCTGATGATCCACATCACTAAAAAAAATGGTAGAAATAATTTATTACAGAACATAAAAAATTTTATTTAAATTATTATTTATTAATATATATATATATATATATATATATATATATATATATATATATATATATATGGTGTTCAAAAGTTTAAAGTCATCCACAGAAATGACATGGGATGAACTTGACAGAAGAGGAAAAAGAAAATGAAAAAGAGTCATCGAAAAAAGAATGCGATTAAGTTATCTAACTTATATTTGGAGAAGCTTTTTGAAACGTATGCCAAACATTTGTGCTGAAGTAATCAAGGTTTAAAGAGGATATTTTACGAGACCAAAATTTAATCTAAAATGTTTTTTTTATTAATTTGTCATAATAAAACTTCAACAGAAAAAATAATTCCTGACTTTTTTTAACCATGTATAATAATTTTCTCTTATTTAAAGTATAAAAGCAACTACTTTTGGGGTCAATTTGATTCACTCAAACTTTTGAAATGTAGTGGATATATATAGATAGATATATATATATATATATATATATATATATATATATATATATATATATATATATATATATATATATATATATATATATATATATATGATAGTTTCCTTTATGAGAAAGGACATTTGAATGCTACGGAAGACCGCATATTTTTCTCTAAGATTTCTCAAGTATTCAGGCCGGTAAACGAACGAACAGACGGTCTACTCAAATACGAGCATCCACTAAAATAACGTTTAAGTTATATATATATATATATATATATATATATATATATATATATATATATATATATAGTGATATAGAGATATAGAGCGTGATATGAATAGACGATAGATAGAGATATAGACATAGAAAGATATGAACAGTGTAGATAGATTGATAAAACATACTGATACTGAAAAAGAAACGATCAAAGGCAGAATATTTTAAATTCTCTCTTTTTATATATATATATTCTCTCTCTCTATATATATATATATTTATACATATAAAGAGGGAGAGAA